TTTATATTTCTAAGGCACGAAATCAGTCTACTATCTACCATTATTTACCAGTTGCAAGTAGTCATTTATGGCATGCATGTAGGATTATAGCTATCAATTTGAAATATTCCCACAATTGCTACCAAATATCCCCATGATTGCTATTAAATATCCCTACAATTGGTATCAAATATCCCTACAATTGGTATCAAATATCCCTATAATTGGTATCAAATATCCCTACAATTGCTATCAAATGTTGCTATCAAATACCCCCAAAATTGCTATGGAATATCCCCACACTTGTTATCAAGTCATTGATTAAGAAACTTTACCGTTGCCTGTTACAAAAATAGGATACATTGTATTACATAAGGCAAAACATACATGTAAACTAACCTTTCCAGTGCATGTTGTCGTTTCTGAAGATGATGAAGCACCACTTTCGGACCACTTTGTGAATGAGACCCTCCAGCGAACTGCCACGGTACTGCAGGAAGTTGACCTGCTGACTGACGTAATGTACCGGTTTGAGTGCAAAAAGCGAGGTCCCAAGTCAACAACGGCTTAATATGCTTAATATTTTACTAAGACATTTCAAGACACATTTTCATGATATGTTGCAGGAAGTAAATATCAGTTATACATTATTGTTATCCTTTAATAGAATATGTTGCGAAATTTGTATTAATTGTCTATTATCTATATATACAGAATTACAGTAGCAATATAAACTTTAAGGCAATGATATCTGTAATATAGGATAAATATCTATCAGTGCAGCCTGTATCTTAAAAGGCTGTTCATTGTTATCATAAAGTTTTGAATCTTTGTTGCCTGTAGTTAAATCTATATTTCCTAAGTTTTATTACGTCGATTTTAATTTTCTACCCCGTTTCTTTATATTCTGTGTGCGATCAAATCAATGATAAGGAATCGTCATATTCTGTTTGATTGCAGGTGAAATCATTGTGTGAAGAGTTAACGATGTGAATAATGTAAATAATGTATTTGTCGTTACATCCTTGGCTAACTTATGTTTGTTTGGTATTTTATTCTATTTTAATTCAATTTGTAACATGACAATACACTGGCCACCCAGGCCGCATGGCTGATTTCGGGTGCCAAGCAATACAAAGATTAGACATACACAATATAACATACTAATACAGTAAACTAACAAGTACAACATTCAAGCTAAAATCAATCAATTTACAGTATAAACTTACAACAGAATTAAGCACAAAGCATAATAAAAGTATTCAATCAAGATAATAATATAGTGTTTTGGAGGTCAGAGGTCATGGGCAATTAATATAATACAATATGTGAGTAAATATATATAAGGTAAGATCATGAGGTTAACTTATGTGGTATCACTGGAAGGACCATCAAAACGTTTTGTGGTGGAAATACTAGAGTAAATGTTTCAAGTGCCTTAAATAGTTGTTTGTTTGTGTGCATGTTACAGCCTGGTAGCCCCTGTAGTAGAACAGATTCGGTTAGGCGGTGTGGTGTGAGTTGCTCTACTGTGGAGGCTAAAATGTGGCGCCGGTGGCTGTAGAGAGGACAGCGTAGCAAGTAATGGGAAACAGTCTCAGAGGGGGTACCACAGGAGCACATTTTGTCTTAGATTTTCATCTGGTGCAAGGTGGCATCTAGTGGGCTCAATTCCATACGTAGCCATGCAGTAACGATGTTGAAGTACCAAGTACCTTGACGTCTGTACGGCTGGTTTGTTTGGTACCAAATCTTTTCTTAGCCTCACATTTTGCTGAGCCTATAGGTTAAAGACTAGGATAGAATATCTTATATCAAAATGACATGATGATGAATAAAGTGGGAATGATACCTGCTTACTAGCTAAACGTTCCGTCTGTAAAAGTTTCTGTGAAACGTTTTGAGGTACACATCCGGACTTGTGACCTATATGCTTGGTCGATTCTGTATGTTAGGCCACACCGACATAATTTTATGGATGGCATCCTCTGAAGACCCCCAAACTAGTGCGCGTGGGCGAATAAAAAAAATTCCGGCCAAAACAAAAATGCTACTAAACCACAGGAGTACAAAGCTGGTATTGTGAATTTGTGGCAATACTTAGCGACGTATAGGACACATGCTGGCTTTTTGCGAAATTTATGAATCGGCACTAGCACTGTACGTAGCGAGTTCTTGAGTCGTGGAGCTTCGGTAGCCTGGGTGCCATCCTCCATATAGTTACCACCTGCTCCGTATTGTCGCAACAATATACTACCCAGGTCTAGAGTCAGACCAGAGCCTCGTAGGACGTGATCCTTTTTTTTTTTTTCATTCTTTATTTTATTTTTTTAAACCTTTTTTGAGAACAGGCTAAAACCAATGCGCGCGTGGATGTCATCCATAAAATTAAGACGGTATGGCCTAACACATATCCGGAAAGATAAGCTTTAATTTGTTTAAGAAACATACATTGACTGTTTCTAACAGCTATAGGTAGATAAAATTAGATTACGAGTGTTTGGGCAAACTTTGGGGAGCACGCTAGTACCTGTTACCTGTTACAGATGGTGACTTTCTCACGTACTTTGAGCCAGGTCACCGTTCACCTGGTCATGAGTGCATTAACCTGGGGTAGTTTGTAAACAGTTAAAGCAAGGACGGCCAGGTTGCCAAGGACACGTCTACATTTACTTTAGCCTTATCGCAATTTAGTTTTTCTAGTAGTTACCTACCAAGAAGGTTATGTTTTCGTAGGCGTTCGTGTGTCTCTGTGTGTGTGTGTGTGTGTGTGTGTGTGTGTGTGTGTGTGTGTGTGAGCGCAATAACTCAAGAGGGCTAAGATGGATTGTCTTGATATTTGGTAGGTGGATAGGTCTTCATAAGACGTGGAACTGATTAAATTTTGGGCCCCCTAGCGCAAATCAGGACCTCATTTGCATAATTTATGAGGAAATGCTAGTATGGTATTGTTGGTTAATATATCTGTCTTTTGGTTGAGAATATATAATTCATGAAAATGAGGATCCTGTTTGCACAATCAGGGGCAATAATCTACAAATTGTTAGTCATTGTTAGTCGTTAGTCGGGGAAATCTAGTTTTATATAGTATCATTATGTCCTCGTGTTTAATGATGTCATTTTCCTGTCAACTCTCATGATAGTGAAAAATATACGTTAGGTACGGATGGATATTGTTTGCTATTCATTATGCTGGGACACGAAGGAAGAAATACTGGCTTTACTTACAACTAGAGTTCGGAGGGCTCATGCCTTCGACAGTGTGATATTGTTTTAGTGGGTGTTGTGTGTGTGTGTAGTGTAGGTTTTTTGAAGATGATTGTCGTAGTTATAGTGGTCAGAGAGTCTTTTTGTGAATTAACGAAGCAACATACTCCGTAAATAATTTCATCAGGTTGGTAAACGACTGAATAAATTGCCCTGATGAAGATGACAGAAGGTCATCGAAACGTTGGCTTGAAAAATAAATGGTTGTGATAGAAAGAACTTTGCTATTCTGAAGCAACATACTATTTACCTAGCCTGTACCATGTCTTTCTATAGTATACGGAAATACGTATCGTAGAATTCGGCAAAAAAGGAGAGGAGGATTGGCCTCCGATGCGCAGCGATCCAAACTTCAAAACGGCAAAAACTCCTTCAACTACTTTCTTCTATACAGCCAGCGTAGTTGAAGCTTGCAGTGTCCAATACGTTGAAAACAATTGCACTACAAAATGTTCACACAAAATGGCCAATTGTTGTGATGGTATGTGGTATCTATTTTTCCAGCGATCCATGGTGCCTGAAAGAAACTTAATCTTCCTCCACAGGTAGAAACTTGTCAAGAGTTCCTTGTTACGGGGTAATGTTGTTTCAACAAACAACTCTTCACCCTGGTTGTGTTGGTGTTGGCGTAACCTAGTTTACCCTGGCTATGTTGTTGTTAGCTTAACGGACTACATAAAAGGACCAAGACTTTGCCTGCACTTAAAGATGTGCACACAAAATGTCCCATTACACTAAAGCGACGGTCACAACCCGCCGCACGTGCTTCTGCGTGCTGTCTACGCGCAAAAACGTGGGCAATCGTAGGGCATCCGAGCGTGGTGAGTACCACCTCCGTACGGAATCCTACGGATTTGTCGTGTCGTGCAGACCACGTACGTACACCTTGCGCAACCGTGCGAGTGACGTACTCCCTCGGCCGGTCACCCTACGTTTTCAGAAAAAAACGTAGCAGACGTAGCCTCCAAAAACGTACGGACAAAAAGCACGCACGGCGGGTTGTGACCGTCGCTTAACCCACAACCTACTAGAGACTCCGAACTTCAAACCCTCAATCTAAACTCCTTAACCTATTCACAATAAAAGAAGAACATTGCTTTTCCACAACTTCAACTACTGACAATCTAACCAAATATCACCAAAAGCCCACTACAGTAAAGTACGGACCTCCCACGACGCCCATTTTCGAACTTGATCGTCAACGGTAACTTGCTCACAAAAAATCGTGAACATCCATTTGCAGATTCTGGAATTATCCTGCAAACAACAATAACGACCAACACAAAAGGGGAAATTCAATGACATGGGAACCCCTCACGAGGCCCATTTCCGAACTTGACCTTCTCAACGGTAACTTGCCAACTAAAAATCATAGATAACCATTTAAGGATTCCCGAGTTATCTTGATAAACAAAATACACAAACACAAAAGGTCAGTTCCAGTCACGTAAGAACCCCCCCACGAAGCCCATTTCTGGCCTTGACAATGCCCATCACTTAGACAACCTGCCTACCGAAAATCGTGAACCTCGGACCATGCCTTCAAAATTTATCGTGCGTAATCTGCCAAACAGTACCAAAACGATTTCATAGCCTTCTGTCGAAGGCAATTAAGATAGTGTTACATACTAGATTTGTACTGCTTTACGTAACATATGATTGCAAGTTGCTTGTATGGTATAACACAGAACACCAACTGTAGTATAATTGAAAGGTGTGACAGAACTTATGATAGTGTGTCGACAAGCCTAGAAAAGGGGTTTTCATTTCATTTTATTTGAGGCATGTTAGGTATTCTTTCCTTCTGTTAGGTTCTTGTTCCACTGCCGCAGAGTTATGACCTTCAGTTGCCGGTGAAGGGGTGATACAACTTGAAGATGTCCAGCGCCTGCTCGGCAAGCACCCGACCTCCTTGAACGTGGTCCTGGGGGCTGATGGGTGACCTCACCGCGAACATCATGTCATAACCTGTTGCATATTGTCAAGGAAGTTGTAAGAAACTGTAGTTCATTTGGAACACAGTTTTTGTAACGTTGAACCTCGCAAACAATAGATTTTTTTTGTGATGGGTTATTTCAAAGAAAAAGGAACAGTTGCTTGTTATTCAAATAGCCCAAATCATAATAGAGGACATACATGTACAGATGTTGTTTAGAGTTAAACTTAAGATCCATCACAAAAAGCTCTCTCACCTAGAGCTTTCGACCAGTCACTCTGGTCTTCCTCAGTAGACTGACTCAGTGAGGCTTGTCACGTGACATCTTTGAAGTGTGACGTAACGATACCTTTGACGTATTGACGTGTTGACGTCACACTTCAAAGAAGCCACGTGACAAGCCTCACTGGGTCAGTCTACTGAGGAAGACCAGAGTGACTGGTCGAAAGCTCTAGGTGAGAAAACTTTCTTGTGTTGGATCTAAAGTTTTAACTCTAAACATGTAACTACTGATGTCGTTCTCAGTGGGCCATCTTTTCGTCTACAAACTTCTGATTAATACATAAAGATCGAGTGAAAAGGGTGCCATGAAAACTAGCCCAAGATCCGCTACCCCGGGCCCGTTGGCTGGAGAATTCCGGAAGCGGATCATGGAAAGCGGACCAAAGCTTACAAGGCTGGACTCTCCGGTCTACATGAAATTTTGTAGTGAATAAAGCTTCGAGTCTCACCAAAGATTGTCGCTTCCACCACCGCCATGTAAAAATAGCCAGCACTGGCCCCAGGTCCCCAGATCACGCCGTTGCTGTTTACCGTGATCTGGGAGGTAAACATTGCACGTATACAGGTAAGATTTAAGACACTACAGCGCACACTGATTCCGCTTTAGAGCAGAAATGATGATGCAGAAATCCTATAAATTGCTTAGGGTTACGGGCAGTTTACATCAGTTCGCAATAAATATCATAATTGATCACCTTCTGAAGATGTTATAGCTCAACAAGGGTACGCCAAGGAACATTGTGTATGCTCACCAGTTTGTTTTGTGATAAATGATATGGAATATGTAGGTTGGTTTTGTCATTTACCTCTCTGATGATTAAGTCGTGCTGTTGAGGAAGATTGGTTATCCAGCCATTTTGCTGTTGTGATGTGTTCAGAGCTGCTTCAGCAGCGATTAAGGTCGGACAGTCTGTAACAAAACGCACATGCATGAATTACTATATTCCCAGGTCACATTATACGGTACTATTCTGACAAAACAGAATATCTATAGATTTTCTGTTTTGTCAGAAAAGTGTGGAAAATGGGCACAAAACATTGGCGGATTGAAAACACATTATTGAATAGCATCTTTCTAAAGCGCACATTTTTAAGTGAACTATATATTACAAACAAACAGAAAATAAACTTTGATGACTTCAAAGAGTTCTTACAGGTGCTCTTCAAGTATGACTTGTCGCAGGAGGTGTGACAAGCCGAGGGGTCGGCAAACAGAAAGCACGCCTGTTCACGCTGACTCTCCGCACGGACCGCTCTCTTCCTTCTTCCCAATCCTCCTGAAAGACGAAAGGAGACGAAATCTGTAATATATAATGTTACCGAGCATTTTTCAACCATAACATTGCCATAATTCTTGGGGCAAACTTCTGGATATATGATAGTTTTGCTAATTGTAATCTAAGTACAAGCAGAAACACACGCCAAAAGCAGTTACTCATTGACAAGCAATTGGACATGATTTTGGAAAGTTCCAGTTGCTTGTCGATGAGTAACTGTTTTTGGCGTATCTTATTACCTGGATGTTTAACCTTCATCAACGTAAGCAGAAAGACACATAAGACATTTTAGAAGACACATGTACATCAATGTACCTTTCCCTTGTGGTTGAAATTAGCTTACTGTAGTTTTTCATCATACAAAGTGCAAATGTCTGTGTTACGTGTCTAAGCACGAGCAGTTTTATCCTCACCTCCAAAGATCCCGCCGATGGCGTCCCCGATACTGTCGATCGCCCCTCCGACAGTGTCGTCGACGTTGCTGACCAGGTTCCCTGCGGCGTCCACGACGTCACCATCGGCGTTCAGGAATTCCTCGCCAGCGTCAACTATGACGTTTGCTGCACTCTAGGAAGGAGATGTTTGAAAATGTTAATTTGTTCTGGGTGCAACAGCGCATGACAAGTAGTAGCCAGGCAGCAGCAAGGCTGGTAGCGGCTACCACTGATACACACCACATTATAGAATATTACAATATAAAAGACGTACGACAATGTATCAATCTTATAAAGTAGCAATGCATCATATAATAGCAGTACATTATGAAATAACAACACATAATAATCATCAATATAAATATCAATAAGCAAAAGTAGAGATGGGACGGTTGAAAGGTCTGTTGAGTTAGGCTAGGGTTTGAAAATATTATGATTTATAAGTCATATGTTTTTGGCCGTATATTAAATATGTGGTCTTTAATTTCTTAAGAATTGACATGTCTTTCAGTGACTCCATGCAAACCACTGTGTTACAAGTGGTTTATGCTTATATTACTAAGTAAACTCATGTTCAATAGCTAAGCTACCGAAATGGTGAAGATGCTCATTTTCCTTATCGTAACCATCCAACTCTAAATCTGATCTAATAAAACATGTCTATATCACCTGCACGCCTGACCAGACAGTCCCTGCCGCTAGGTTCATATCGTTAGAAACTGAAGCCAAGGTTCCGTCAGCAAAAGCCTCCACTTCCGAGCCGATGCCTTCTACATTGAGGACACTTGAAGTGGCAGGATCATTGAAAGCGGACTGCAGCTAAATGAATAAACAAAGACATACAGAAATTTACAGCAGGGGTTGTGAGCACTATTTTAGGGTTGCCTTATATTTCAGAAAAAATTGACAAAAGATTCTTTACTAGGTTGTAACCACAAACCATTAGCATGATACCCTCAAGCGACAACAGGCTAGGTCTACAGGAGAGAATCTTATGAAAAACTTGACTTGAATCACTCAGTCTACCTCAGCTATCTGACCCAAATGCTGTGGACACGTGATTTTTCCCACGTGTGACGTCAGCAAAGGGTCAAAGGTTGTCTGAAGTCGATATCGCCCCCCGTCCCGGTTGAGCGATGGTTGAAGTGCCCTGATGTATACGGCCCTTTTTTTATGCCTCTCTTGAAGTAATCCTGTTCGGGGACGATATCGACTTCAGACAACCTT